AGAGAGAGAGAGAATTTTTTCATATACACACAGCGACCACTATGTTATATCTAACAGAGCTAGTACTGCAGAGGAGGCTTCAGAAATGCTTCAAGGGTGAGTTGTATATTCATAGACGCCTTTCTGCAAACTACTGTTGTACTCAGCTCTTTTTGCACTTGTGGTCTTCCTGTTAACTTGAGTGTGCATAATCACCGGTGTCACTAGGGTGTTTTCGCCCACACAAATGCCACTGGATGTTTTTTTGTTTGTTTGTTTGTTTTTTGCATATTGCACCATTCTCTGAGGAACCACCACGTCTGACGTCAACAAGGACACCACATCAGGCGTCTCAGCCATTCATATACTCAGCCACACAGTAGCTTGACCTCTTGACCCTGCTGTATATGTTTGCTTGCAGGCACATGAAGTGCAGCACAGTTTGCATTAACATGCTAGTGCAGCACATAAACTGGTTAGGGAGTGTATTTGGACTGCTGCAGGAAAGATACGTCAATATTTATTATTATTTATTTTATTTAATGGATTGGGGCTCAGCAAGCTACATTTTTTTTATAAAATATTTTACTTTTTAAGTTACGTTTTAGGATAGCTTATTGATACATTATTATATATATGTATATACACACAGTGGTACCTCAGTTCTCGAACTCATTAGAACTCGAATTTCTTAAAAGTCGAACCAACCACTTCGAAAAAATTACCTAGAGCTCTATCTGAATCCCAGAAGTCAAACCGTGAACGCTGACCTAAGAACTTGTTCGCGTGACCCCACGCGGCACGTCTCTCAGTGGAAACAAAGAGTAAAGCTTCAGTCTCAGCCTCGCATTCGCTGTGATAGCATCGTGCATGTTTACACTAGCTGAATACATATATTTAGACAGTAAAAATACATTTATGCTATGAGAGACAGTAACAGTAATTATTATATAATAAAATGCATTTTATAAAATAAATATTTCTTAATTATTTTAATATTTAATAATAAACCATTAATACATTTAATTATAATGGGGACGGAATGGAGACAAAGGCGCAGACGTCAGGGTATCGGGGAATACGGGGTTTAATTACAGGTAAGGCAGGCAAAATGCAGACGGACAATACAATGACCGCACTGGGGAAACAAACTGAAACGCGGAGGAAATACAGAGTGCTAATGAAAACAACCAGAAATGATCACATGGGGATTACACACGGGGTTAACGAGGGGGCGTGGCGCACAGAAGGAGCAAACGATCGGGGCAGGACACATTGTTTGGATACATTTATTTTCTTACTTTACAAATTACTGTTTTAATAAATGTGCTTAGATGTGTTTAGTACAGTATATGCTCTTCTTGTTTTATCCGGTTCATTTTGTGTTTAAATGCTAAAAAAACATATTTAGTTGTAATTTTTGGGGGCAGGAACCAATTAATTGGCTTCCCATTGTTTCTTATGGGGTAAATTCGATCAGAACTCAAACTTTTTGGGATTCGATCCAGAGTTCCGAACGGATTAAATTTTGAGTTATGAGGTACCAGTGTGTGTGTGTGTGTGTGTGTGTGTGTGTGTGTGTGTGTGTGTGTGTGTGTGTGTGTATGTATGTATGTATGTATGTATGTATGTATGTATGTATGTATGTATGTATGTATATTTTATTTTTTTATTTTTCATTCAAAATAGTACTGCAATTACCTAAAATATGGCAGTCTTACTTCAGGATGTTATACTCACTCTTTGCACTGTGGTCTCATTGTATTAAAAAATATCAAGAAAACACCAGTATTTCCTTTACTTTTAGTGGCATATAATAGTAATGACTGAATCTACACGAATAATTGTGCCTCCATAGTCAATATGAAACTCAGTAGTGTAATTTCCAAGCATTGTCCAAGCTATTTAAAAAGAAAATATAGTTTTTACTCACAATTGCTTTAGGTTCCACAGACTGTGAAACAAAGATGGGGGTAGTTCCTGAATTCTATTCATCGATAAATCCCTGAATAAAAATATATATTCTTGAAGCAAAATACATTATGTATTCAGTTAAGTTAACAAATGCGACAATAAATAATGTATTTAGTGTTACAGCTTGGAAAAAGTAAGAGAGGTTCTGCTTGGTCCATTATCTCTATAAAGTACACTAGAATGGTATCAAAACTGTTTTCAGTTACTTTTCCCATATTTAAACATGAATATGGTAGAAAATAAAGTGACAACACTGCTCTTACGTTTCCAAGCCGTTATTTTCAGTTTATTCAAGGCTTAACGATCCAGCAGGCCGCACCGCAGATTTTGAAAAGCACATTCTATTTCCTTTGACATTTATCAGTCAAAGCAAAGATTGAGTTACCCAAAAGTACATCAGAGGAGACTTGTTTCTTCCCATCAACGAAAATGCAAAGCAGACATTGTTTACGTCACAATTTCAAAAGCAAGTCTTCCATGGTTCCATCCCAAAATGTCAAGTAAAGATCAAAATAACTGTATACTCACAAGTCTATGAGCTTTTGCATTGTGGAAAATGTTCCCTCTTCAATAATCTCTATGTGATTTCTACGAAGAGCTCTGAAATGGAAATAGAAGAGTTATGATTTCATTTTCCCTTGCAGTCCGACTGCGGTAATAACCATTGTCACTTGACAGTTATTCACCTATATGTACAAACACTTTCATGTGTGCTGGTTGAAAATACAGTACGTGTCTGTGTCATTTTTTTTTGTACCAAAAGTAAAATTCAAAGCAAGAAGACAAAGATTCTCGCTTTACAGCTGCAGGGCTGCTGGTGGCACATTCTGTCGCTTCATAGCTACACGTTTTAGCAACTTGTAAGTATGTGTCTGCAGGAGAGCAGAGAAAAAATTGCTATGCAACAAAGAAATTTAATGTGGGAGTCTTTGTCCAACATAGGTGCTGGAGGTCAGTGAGAAAGGTTCACTATAGTTCATTATCTGCTTCCTTGGACATTTGGTCTTCTGAAGTGGGTTATATCCAGCTATTGGGGTGAGGGCTTTATAAACTGGCCGGCAGAGATAAACGTGAACGTGGAGTGAGAAGGCCGTGGTTGAAGGTGAGATGCCGACACAGAACAGAGCTGACTTGTGGGGTATTTTTGTACGCTCAGTTAAGTTTGACTACTTGTGTATAGAAGATCTAAAAAAAAAAAAAAAAAAGCCTCCTGGAACAGCAGTTAGAAATCCACTGTGTCTGTGGTGATTTTGTCTGCTTATTACATTATGTTTGAGGTCTTCTGGAATGTTGGTAGGTGCTCTCATTTGGACCAGGTTCTGCTAAAACAAGGTGAATTAAGTGAAACGGAGTGGAATGACGCAGAGTGGAATTCTGAAAAGTGGAAATGACACGGCTGACAGCCTTTTCCCCTGAACAAAACGAATACTGGAATAATCCTGCCAAAAGACACACAAAATGTCATGTCAAAGCCACCCCTTTGATTTCATCCATGTCGACAGTCAGTCAGGTATACCTACTTTTATAGCACGAATGCAAAACAAACCGATTAATTTTTTTATTGGCTATTATTAATATGATATTTCATAAAATACCGGAAATTAAAATATACTGTCTTGTTATATCTTGATAGGTATTCTTCTACGACACAGCAGGGTTAACTGGTTCAGTAAAATCAGAGATTAAACATCAAGGGAAGTAAGTAATTTGTGTCCCTTTGCAGTATGCAGTCTGTCTGGCCACAGCTCCCCCTCTGCTCTGATTCCTCGAGGCCAGGTGCACATTCCCCTCATGTTTCCTCATGCCGTGCAGGACAGCCAGCACTGAAAGTCACACATCAGGCTCTCAAGCAGGAACCCAACAGGTCGGCAAGAGCCACTTACATTATCTTGCCTGGCTGCAGAGTATCTCAATTTAAGCTGTACCCCCCAGTGACAAAACAGACACCAATTATGTTAATCTGCCATGGAAATGCTTGCAACCACAGCCAAACCACGCCGCCACTGGGACAAACGCCTTTCACGGCTGACCTTGGAAATCTGCTTTTCCTTTTGAGGATTGCTTTTCCCATGATAGGTACAAAGGCTCTACAAATGTGCTTTTGCAGTTCTGATGGCCTGGCTGTTTTGGAACCAAGTCTGAGAATTTCCTGAAGTCATTTTGAGGGTGATTCTACAACAGTATCAATGTTATCATTACGTATAAACTTACAAGACAGTGAGAGCTCTGCACTCTCGAAAGCTGGAACTGTGTAACGTTGATATGAGATTCCCTTCCATCTCCCTGGAAAGAAAAGATTTCAAAGCACTCACACATCATTTGGACAAAGAATACTTCACACAATCAACATTAATAATAAAATACTTTCACTTGTGAGGGGTGAAACAAATATGTTGTCATGATCATTTTTAAAATGTCAATATTACTCATGTAACCGGAAACACTGTAACGGATATAACAATGTCTGTTGTTACTCACAGCCAATTCAACCTTGGCATTTCCTGGCAGAAAGAATTGTTCGGTAAGTGCTCAATTGAATTATTCAGCAATGACCTGAATCAAGAAGAAGTTCAATTAATAAACCCAATCAGGAGAAATTCTGAATTAATCTCATCTGAGAAAATATATATATTTTTCGATTTACGTACACAAACTGACTTAGGCTCAGTTAATGGTATTAAATATTTGTTGTAAAACTCCATGGCTCTAAAAATGATTTGTAACATTTTGACCTTTTTTGTCTGTTTTAACTGCAAAACAATATCTGAAAATATGGAGGAAGTGTGACCCGGGATATAGTTAACAGATAAAGGGTGATGTATTCTTAAGGATATTTAAACCTCCTAATCACTCCATAGAATTAAAGACTGATGTAAATTAAGGTCGACAGTCATTTCTAAAATGTATAAATGACACCAGAGTCTAGCAAAGAAAAAAAGTTATTATTATCTACTACAGAGTCAAATATATAGCATTACCGAGATAATAATGCCCTAAAAATGGCTCTGAAGGTCAAATATTTATAAATGTTGAACCATCCATCCATCCATTTTCTGAAACCACATATCCTATTCAGGATTGCGGGGGGTCCAGAGCCTATCCCAGAGGCTGCGGGTGCAAAGCCATAAATGCTGAACTATTCAAAAATAATAATCTTATAAGTGTGGAGTCATATTTTTTAATTTATAAAATGATACCAAATTAATTTAATTCATTAGTTAAAAAATGAATATTTAATGTTAAATAATATTCTGCTGTTATCAGTCTCAGGCAACCAAGCAAATTAACAGTATAACTGTACTGTATATGTGATGCATGAAATTGACTGGATTTTATTGGATTTCAAAACTCCACGTTGTTGTGAGGATCTGTGTTAAACCATCTACACCTCCTTCATTTTCAGTTTCAGGTTTAAATTTGGATTTCTGCTGTATCCTGCTCACATATTCAGAACGTAATAACAGTGAGTAATAGTCCAGGATTTATGGTTATAGAATGCAATGCAACGATACGCAAATGCAAAATCTTCTGTTTCCAAAGAAATGAGGAAATTAAAGACTTGTGCACTTGTGAGGTTAAACATCTAACAGAATACAATTTGGTCCCTAATATTTCATCGATTCATTCTTTAAAAAGAAACAAACCTGGAGCGACATTAAAAGAGCACCGCAAGTTGGCCTGTATTAATGTGCTAATATTAGCTTGTTCTTTTTATAGTTTTCTGCATGATACAAATAATATTGTAGCATGAAGGATCCAGTGCTGCTCAGAGGCGAATTATCATTTACGGTAAGAACTCGTACTGAAAAGGCAAGATTTTTACTAATAGCTCTACCAGAGACAAGGGGGCTGTCTTTGTTTTTTTTTTCCACTCCAAATATAATTGTTGGTTATGACTGTTCTCATTTCATAAATATCCTTGATATTTATGATATTGCAGTAAGTTAATGAGGTTACATAAAGGTCAAGGGTTTCTGTTTATGGTAAGTAATATGAAAGCTGGGAAGCAAACACACACACACACACACACACACAGAAAGACACAGTCCTGATAATACAGGGATGAATTTAAGCTTGAGGCTTATGTCAGCCTTTGCACTAGACGTTAAACACTCCTGTAGACACATACTTACAAGAAAAACAACGATCTGAGTCCTGTGAATGATTCCTGTCTTACAGATGATATTTGATTGTCGTCCAGGATTCTAAAGTGAGACGGAATCAAAAACATGACCTGAAGGCTGCAGAAAGTTAACAAAAAAATACATCTGCACAGTACTGGGACCAGTGAAAGCATTATAATGGAAATATGCAGGAAAAGTACCACATGCATACAGTATGTCAATACATTGAAAGTCTGAAGGAAAACATTAATTTTGCTAGTTATTCCAGTGGCAGAAGGCATTGTGCTGTGCTTAAATGAACCAAACTGCTTCATTTAATTCAGCAATAATTCCAGCGTCCTTTGTAAAGAGTATAAAGGAAAACCCCTTCAGAAATGTTCAGTTTAGCAAATAGTGCAAGAAGCACCACATCCTCAATGGATTAACATCAACATTGAACACAAAGAAAGATTTTTTTGACTTACAGCCATTCAAGATTGTGAAGGTTCCGGAAGATAGCAGCCTTTAGCATAGTGATCCTGTTTTGGCTGAGGAATCTGAGCACAGTTCAGGGGAAAAAGAGAAATCTCTTAAAGCTGACAATATTAACTGTAATAGCTAAGATCATTTTCACTGAAATTAAATAATGCTACAGGATACATTTTTATCAGTCATTGAGCTGATTTTTTTTTAGATGTTATCAAGTTCCCCTGTAAAGTAATTGCTGATTTTTCAACTTACAGTTTCCTTAGATTATACAGTTCTGAGAAGGCCCGGTTCGATATTGTGTGGATGCTATTATTTTGCAAGTGCCTGGAAAGAAAACAGCGTATACTCATTAAAAAAGCAAATGTATCGAATGATAATTGAAATGCAAGTACACTATTAATATCATGGGCTTAATGTCCAAAAGAGCACCGCAAACAACATCAAATGCCAGTTAGCCCTTTGTACACATTACCACATGGGGTAGTATACAGTAGCAAGGAACGGCAAACAGACTGGATATATTTAAACAATATACCAGTCATATGCCGTATAGAAGTCACTTCATAAATTCAACATGAGTAACTATTTTAACTGCTCTTTATCTGTTTTAATACCATTTTAGCCTGCATTTTAGTCCTTTGGTTGTCCGTTTAGCATCTGTATAGTAAACCACCAAGTACCCCAGTGACAGAGAGCTTAAGCTGTAATATGTATTTCCCAGCTCTTCTGAAAAAAATATTACTTTCAATCGTCAACCGTAAACCAAAATAATTCTTTTTGACTCCAAATCATTTTAATTCTGGTACTTCTTTTTAGAGCACTTAGATATAATCAGTATGTAGTCTGGGTTTACTCTGTTGACGTTTTTACTTCTAACTAAAATCATTCATTGTGGACTTTGATGTTACAGTCAAATTCTCTTAGGCCGATTTAAGCAATATCCACCGCAGACACAATATCAACCCAGGCTGATCTTTGTTTAAGGACAACTGGGTGGCACACTGCCAGTGTTTTAGACTGAGAGATGATGAGCAGTGTGGTGGGCTTACACTCTGTGCCCGTTAATGGGAGGTCACCAGTTCGAGTCCTGGGCTCGACAGAACAGTCACATGTCCGTGGACCCTTGAGCAAAGCCCTTAACCCCCAGCTCCAGGACCACTGCATGATAGTTAATTAACCCTGTGCAGTCACACCCCCAAGCTATAGAGAACAAGATGGGAGAGGCCATGAGACAAATTCTACCTGTACTTGTGTAATGGCCAATAAAAGATTATACTTCGTTACAATTTATTACTCTATAATTATATATTTAACGGCGCACCAACCAAAGCGACAAGTCAGAAAGCCACTGTTAAGATCTTAATGCACCATGCTCTTACACTAGTGTTCAAGTATGTACTAATCCTAACATGAATAACTAGGAATCCAGCAGAGATAGTTAGTTCAGAGAAGCATAAATTAAGCAAAATAATTCATTAGCTGACCTCTTTATGGTGGTATATAATGATGTTTTAAACACTGAGACCATTTAGTCACGTAGAACAATGTTTCTCACATCTAAGCATTCTGTGCGGACTTGGTGTGACCTTGGTCTAGGGCAAACATAAGAGGACAGGGAGAGAGGAAGGGACGATATCTGTGAGGACGGGGTGTTCGGATGGACTTGTGAGGCACTTCTCACTTGGTGGGGCGCTGCAGTGGGTGTGAAAGAGATGCCAGAGTCAATTTGTGAGCCCAGTCTTACCGGAGCCAACTTGACAGTTCACCTTAAGGTGAGATACGACGCGTCCCCAAAGTGGCCCCCAGTCAACCATCCCTGTTGGTGTCAGCAGCCTTACAAAAATAAGTAACCTTATTTCCGTACCCATACAAGCATTTAATTTCATTTACATTATTCCTAACTGTTTTATTTAACTGATGAAAAACTGTAGTCATAAATGCTGGCATTTGTTAGTTCCATAAGCACATATGACGCCCGCATTAGAAACTCTCAGCTCAGTTCCATTGATGAATTGTACCATCAACAGCAATATTAAGGCAGGAAATTTTAATCAGGGCAGCAGAGAGTTCGGCACTGTTGCCTCACACCTCTGGGACTGGGGTTTGAGTCTTTACCTTGGCTCTATGTATGTGTATCTATGTACGTTTTCATGGTCGTCCTGTGTTGTATCATGAGAGAAAATGACAATCTTGATTCTTAGTGAAAATAAAATTGTGACTATTTTGCCCAGAATCATGCAGCCCTAATCCTTCTTTTTACAAAATAATATTGCAACTTTAAAATTGTACACCACTTCAGAATGTTAACGAGCAAGTTTTTCTCTCTCTCTCTCTCTCTCTCTCTCTCTCACAAACACACACACACACACACACGCACATGTAGGGTAAACATATCCTTATGGGGACCGCTCATTAATTTCAATGGGAAAAATGCTAATGCTAACTATGACAACCTTAACCCCTACCCTGCCCTAACCATAACCATAAGTAACCTAACAAAATACAAGAGTTTTTGCATTTTTAGTTTTTTCATAGCAGTCACCGATTTTTATAAAATAGAGTTTTCCCTTATGGGGACCAGGAAACCGGTCCCCATAAGGGGAAAAAAAATGGATATTTATCACGTTATGGGGACATTGTGTCCCCATAAGGATAGATAAACCCGCTCGTGCACACACACACACACACACAACACCTACTTTCATTTCTATGCAAATACATCTAATCCCGACTATGACAAGCTTAACCCCTAACCCAGCCCTATCTTTAGTCATAAGCAACCACACAGACATTTAATTTTTTTTTATTGCATTCACAGATTTTTATACGATTGAGTTTACCCTTGTGAAGACCAAAAAAATGCCCCATAAGGTCAAAATAACAGGTTTTTATCAATGTAATGTATGCATGACCCCCAACCCCCACACACATGCATACAAAGATAATGCATGAGTAGGCTATTAATTTTTATCAAAACAACCATGCTACTATTGTAGATCATAGCAAACTGTTACAGATATTTTGCAGTATATATGAAAATACAAAAAAGGGATGCACTTACAGTCTTTCCAGATTTTTATATCGTATAAAGAGATCTGGTGGAAGAGATGTGATCCGATTGCTGTTCAATTCACTAAGAAAAGAAAAATCACAAAACAAATGTTCATTCTGCACTTGTTTTTCCATTTCAAATATGTTGAAGAGTCCACTGATATAAAAACAGATCCAAATAAATATTCATGAAGAGTTAAAATTCAGTGAAACACTTTACTTAAAATAAAGCTCATTATTTTTACATTTCATTCCTATATTGGGAGGCAAAATACATTTAGCCTGTATTAACATGTCTGTATACCCATTGATTTGTTTATCTTCAGTTAGGGTTAATAAATTATTTATGGAAATACTAGAAGAACTGAGGGGTAAAATAATTTCATTACTCATCCTGTTATTAATTCTGGCTTTTTCACTGGGGAAATTCTGCTTATGCATGTTGGCAGGTTACAAATAAATAAATGAATAGATAAATCATAATTGAAATCTATCTTTTATTTATGGGGCCATATCCAGGATAACATTGGCTCATTCATCAGAGTAAAGTACAGTGGGAGATGCAAATTATAAATTGTTGCAGCTTCTAATTTCTTATCCCTCCACAGAGAAGACGTTACAGTTTTCCGAATGCAATGAATTGAATTGAATGTGACCGTAGGGACATTATAATGGTTTAGTTGTTGCTTCCCCCACGCCACCCCCACGCACACATTATTAATAGTTAATTACATTGAGCTTAATAGGGTTAACTAAGGTTATCATAAAGTATCTAACCTTGGAGCTGCTGCTTAGATTCTGCAGATTTGTTTCCTATTTTAGTGCCTTGTAGATTGCTTTGGATATCCAGGTTACATTTACATTTACAATACAATTACACACTTAGCAGACAGTTATGTCCAAGGTGACATACAAGTGAGGCGAATAGCATATTGCCAACATCCATGTTGTGAAGGAGCAGACTAGTCATGCGTGCAGCTAGACTGAGCTTCCAGTGAATTCCCAGCACAAGTGTGAGCAGTACTGGGGCAGGAACTACGCAACAACGACACAACCACACAACTACTTCTGATATCTGCTGTTCCACATAAGGGAGCTGGATCTAGCCAATCATAACATGAAGTGCTGTGACACAGTATCCTCCATTTTGCCTCCAGCTGTGGTATAAGACTAGTGTGGCATGTTGTGTGGGTATTACAAGGGTGCAAACTACATCCAAGTGTTTGTAATCGATGAAGATGCTCTGCTAGCCGCTGCTGTGTCATCAGCATTTAATCACATTATTTTATCTAGTGTTAATTATCTTTATATATTTGTGCAGCTTTATTGTATTTTTGCATATTATATTAAATGCCATTTTGAATGACCTCATTCACAGCTATTAAGGCATTACCACTATGAGGTAAAGCTTTCACACAAATGTATTACAAGATATTTAATAAATTTCAATTTTTAGTAATTATTGAAGTAGTGGAATATTTTTGCAATAGCTCTGCTATACACTCACACACACACACACACACACACACACACATTCATTTCTATGGGCATAACCCTAATCATGCCTCCGCTAACCCCTATGCAGCCTTAACCTTTTGGCATTTTTACTTTTTTGATTGCATTCACAGATTTTTTTAATAAAAGTGAGGCTATCCATATAGCAACCTGAAATATTTCCCCAAAAGTAAGCAAGTTCCAGGTTTTACCATACTTTGGGGACATTTTGGTCCCCAAATGAGATCTATGCAAACCCCCCCCCCCCCATCTGAACACACACACACACACATACACACATATATAAATACATATATACAAAGACTGTGTATGCATGAAAGACAGCGAGAGAGAGAGAGAAACTGGCCACATAATGCCTAATTTAATAAGGAGAGGAACAGAAATGCCTTGAGAAAGCCAGGTCTTGTCTGTTTTATTTGACTGAATTTGATCTAAAGTAAATATCTTAGTTTTGTTAAAATCTTTGGTATATCACCTTCAGATAATTTCTGCAACTGTTGCAATTCCAGAATCATATTAAAGGCTGATTTTTGACGTTAAAAAGGCATCCCATCCACAATCTGATGCTTTTGATAAAGTTACTTCACTTCCAATTTTGTAAGTGGCTTTGCGTGGGCAGTACTGAGAAATGTTCGTCAAGTGTTTATGTACGCGAATCAGCTCGAAAGCCCTGTTTGTGCTCCCTCAGAAGGCCTGTTTCTTTTAGCTTGAACAAGCACTCACTTTATTAATCTTTTTTTCTAGGTAATTTTTATTGTCCTGGGTGGTTAAGGGAGGCATGACCCAGCCATGGAACAAAGTCTGCTTTACCATCTTGCAAGACGGCACTTGTTACATAAGCAGCTGATGTATGTAACAGTTTGCCCCTCTAGCAATGTCTGTGCTTTGATCTGACTGCCTTTAGATCACTGACTAATGACTGTCAAACTTAGTGTAGCAGTACTGGCAGACCCTTGACTGATTTCCCCCTTTTTTATATCTCTATTATTCACCAGAGGCGTAGCCTTATGGGAAATATGCTCTTAAGATAAAACACAGTAGGGGGAATTGGTTTTCCCATTTGAAAATACATTAGCTTGCAAGCCTTAGAACAAAGATTTTCCAAGAACACTAAAACCCTTATTTCAGTACAAATTAACACCATGCACATTTACTCATATGCTCTTCAAATTAAGCTATATGGATTCTAAAGGCAAGTCAGTGTCTAAAATGCAGGAAAAATAATAAGTGTTTTCTAAGATACTTACAATGCAGTGATATTGGAAGATACTGCAGGTACATACTGAAGATCTCTGCTGTTACAATTCACTTTCTTGGCTTCACACTGACAGGCTTCTGGAAATACATCCAGCACTACACCAAGATGTTAAGGACATTTAGCAGTGATTCACTGTTCAGGCAATATTAAGGGGACAGAATGTGACCTTATGTTATTTCTTATAATATGCAAATTTACAAAAATATTATTGATTACACCAAATATGATGACAGGGGTGCGGCTACAGATTTTGAGCCCCATGAAAGCATATCATATTCGGCCCTGAACCCACACCAATCCAATTATGTTCTAAATTTTTTAGGGCCCCAGTCACTCAGGGGCCCCTGGAATCATCCTAACTTTCCCCCCCTTTTATGGCGCCCCTGCATGATGATTTTATAGAATGGGGAACTTATCATTTAACAGTGGAAATCACTGGAGTGGATACAAGCATGTTTGTCAGGAAAATGAGTTTCATGGCTCACTGTTGCCTTTCCCCTCTTTTAGAAAATAATCACATGCATGCATTTCACCATGTCATGCCAACACCAGCTTCCTGACGTTCTGGGTTCTTCAGTCTGTCTACTAAAGGCAACACAGCACATTGCTTTGGCAATTTTGCTGACCTTCATAGGGAGAAACTGGAACCTCATCATAATGACTTTAAGAGGAGGGGATTTTACTCACAACATTCCTTTGACTCCTGTATGTTTCTCTTTAAAAATGCATCAAAGAGATGAGGCCATCCACTATTGTCCACTAATAAAAGGAGAAAAACCAAAGAGAAAAAAATATGGATTCAACTTCAAGGCACTTCATTTTCATCAAATCTCATTTCAAAAGGTTCTTTTTTTATTAGAGGCTAAAGGCTGGGATTATGGAATGTTGCTAATTCATTAGCAAGTGTTTCAAATATGTCGGGGAGAGTGGGGTAAGTTAGAACACGGGGTTTGTTAAAAGTTGCAGACAAAAAATGATTAATTTCATGAGGTGCTGCCATCTAGGGGTGGACAACAAGAATATCCATCCACCATTTTTGTTTCTTGAATGAGGACTGAAATTTGGCTGAATGAGTCGGGTTTGTATATTCTCTGACAAGTGGAGTGCATTTTTCTCTGTAACTGTTGTTCTATGATGACATTGTCAATAGATTAAACTCACTCATTCATACTTTACACTCCAGAGCTAAGCTACAAAATCAGACTAAATTGGTCACCAGTAGCATTGTTTCATGAAGTGTGAGAGGGGGCTCCCCCTCAGTAAAATATGGTGAAGGGGGTGTTTTGCATGATCATCTGTCATTATTAGGGGCGCTTGGTTAAATTTGCCGTGGGGGTCCTCCACCCCTCACCCCTACTGGGCTAGTTCAAACATTCAGGGGGTTAGTTGGAACTATGCATGTCATAGTTAGGTCCCTAAACTGATTTTTTTCATGCAAGCTGATCATAGATTAAAGTAGAGCTCTGCCAAGTTTAAGAGTGATTCATGCCTGAATATGCCTGAGATATACCGGAATAAGTGACTCTGTGGCTGGATGTCATGACCGGGGTGGGTGGAGACATGTGACGGGGAAGAAGCTTCTGAATAATAATAATAATAATAATAATTAATAACTGATTCTTTATTGATCCCCGTGGGGAAATTGTTTTTACGCCTCCCCAATGATGGTGAAGTTGCAACCTAACATTGCAGTTAAAAGGAGTGCCCCCCCCGTATTGTCCTTTCCAGATGTTGATGACATCTCTGTTCATGGAAAACAGGACTAGGTCTTCAGGTTTCCAACACCAACTGTACTGGGGGCATCAAGTGTTGTACCCAAAAGCTGATGTTTCCTCTTGATTTGTCCGCTTACAATCCAAAGCAGTAATGTTTGGAATTAATACGGTGATGAGTAGTGATGATGTATGCTACATAAAAATGAACTTATAAGGAGTTTTCAATACTTTCTTCAGCCATGACCCAAATTATGGAAACAGCTGTTCCAATCTACCCTATACCATGTTTCAGCTTTCCCCAGTGGTGGGTATACAAGGGACACCTGAAATAAACTTGTTTGAGGAGGATCATATGGAGTACAATCAAACAATCTAGGAACATCATATGCAACATTTGTAACTATTGTAAGCATTATTGCAGTGGTAAAGGCAGTTTTATTCAAATATAGATCACGTTCATGAATTATAATTTACCTTAATATAATATGGAGGAATTAGTTAAAATGTTCCAACTAACCCCACTCTCCCCTAATCTCATTTATTTAAGTAATTCTAGAGCAACTTCATTGTTGCATTTCATAATAGGTAACAGACGAAAGCGGGATTTCCCGCCCGGTTGCGTCGTTAATTCGCTTTGCGTCACGCTCCGACTCTGCTCACCGCAGTTCTCCTCGTCAGCGCCGTTTTCGCAGTCCTTCACGCCGTTGCAGTGCCGCAGCTGGGGCAGGCACACCGACAGGTTTCCGCACGGGAACTGGCCGAGGGGACAACCCCCGGTGGCAGCATAGAGCTCTGCGGCAGTCAGGTCTGGGAAAAGACACTTAAAGCGTTTTTAATCATCTCTTTTTATAAGCGAGAACGACACTCTCTGCCAGCTCGTTAGCACCATTGACGAAACTCCTGCAAGTCAGATTTAGGTAATAAGCTCCAAGACTGTGAATAAAATGAGCTTTTTATACAAAAGCAAAGAGTTCTAAAAGTTGTGTTTGAATAAAGTTATGGTTCAGTCATCAAGGTTTTGATTAACACCGGCAACAATTTCATACAATAATCTTACACTGACCTATTTTTACGTTTCATGCCAGCACTTATACAGGGGGCGGGGTGGCTGTGTGAATTATTTTTCCAGAGATCAGAACACACACTTTAGCTGCACAAATAAGCAAATAACTGCAGCTAGTAATTAATAAGCCAAACAACTTTAGAGGAAATTTAAATCAGCGGTATTACTGCAATACAGTAAAGTGGTTTGGAGCAAGAACCTAGTGCAGCCAGGCATGCTTATAGTTTATATATATATATATATATATATATATATATATATATATATATATATAT